CTTCTTCTTCTTCTTTTTTTTTCTTAACATATCTTGCATTATTTGTCTCAGAGGTACAGATCTAACCTCAGAGATTCTTTAGAAGAGGCCAGGTAAATACAGTTATATGGCAATTTAAATTTCTCTCTCTGACAGCTCTTACTTTTATTATGTTCTTGGCATATTCTCTTTTTTTCTGAGACAGATTTCTAACTATGATCAAATTTTCACAAATACTGAAAATGTAAGACCTGAAAAGAATCTAATTTTACTCTTCTTTCTACTCTTATTTTAGGGAGCTCTTGTTTTGATGTTAATATTTAAATGAAAGTGATGACTGTACTACCATGTATAACTTTGAAGGGAACTTCCAAAACAGATTTTCTTTTAAAAATTACTTATATTAAGATTTAAGACAGGATTTCAGACAGCTGTTTGTGAGATTTGCCAAATCTAATTTATGTAAAATCATTTTTGAATAAAAATCTCTATTGGCAGAGCCCTATCGCATAAACCAGGGATTATAGAACAAGTACTTCCAGAACATAGTGTGCTGCAGCACATTGATTTTGCGGAAAAATTTCAGGATGAGTTACTAGTAACTGAAGGTAAGAATTTCAACATGTCTAACTACTACAAATGACCCAAAAGATTTATATCTAGGTCCAGTGATGTGTTATAGGGAGGAAGAGTATTAGATTATGGAGTCAGGCTGAGTTTGAGCCACAGTTCCGCTATATGACTTTGGATGTCACTGAGATTAAGTTTTCTTTTTTGTAAATGAGAGCTACAATATCAACTTCTCATCCATAAGGAATTGTTGTGAAGATTAAATGAGAGAGCTTTGCTATATAAATGTTAGATATTATTAATGTATTGTGGCACCTATTCTATGGATAGACTTATAAACAGGAGGAGAATGATCATTATTAAGCTCAAAGTAATTACTATGTAAGATTTAATGATTGCAAACTTGAACTCATTTTGAGATTTCTGTGTCTGCTGTGCAGTTTATGGAGGATGTGATGGTGGGAAAAAAAATCCAAAATAGACAGCAGCGGAATAATTCCAGCCTAGATTTTTAGCTCTATTTGAGCTGAATTGTTCAAGCATCTAATGGTGTTTATTACTGATAAAAAAATATGTATCAAGACATACAAATTGTGTAAAAATGGACAGATTTTTACTACAGTGTTGTTCATAACAGCAGGAAGTTAGAAGTAACCTAAATATCCAAGAATAGGGCATTGTTTAATTATGTAATAGAATATGTTGAAGCTATTAAAACAGTGATACGATTCTATGTTCATGAGAAAGCTCTTCATTAAGAAAAATTATTTTAAAGTTTACATATTAACATCTCATGGTAAAAATGATTTAATGTGTCTGTATACAGCTACAGAGGTAAAATTGCAGGAGTAAACACACCAGCTATTGACAATGGTTATGTTCTGGTAGTAGAATTTCAGGTGGTAGTGGTTTTTGTTATCTAGTTTTTTAATGGTAAAATATATATTGCTTCTGAAATATGAAATGATAAAAGGATATTTAGTTATGTAGAGGTGATGTAGAATAGTCTGTGATCTTTTTGGTTATTAGGAGTCTAGATCACCTACTCAAAGGGAAGGTAGGGGTGGATTAGTTAAAAATAGTGAAAAGATTTGAAATGGATCTTGTCAGCAGTGTGATTTGGAAATGAAAAAATTTAAGACCATGTCTGCCACTTCATCTCCTCTGAGCTTTACCTTCTTTCTCCATCGTAAGAAAGATCCCAATAAATAAAAGAGTTAAACGGAATTATGCTTTATAGATGGAAACACTTAGTAACATACCACAACAATCCTGAAGACTGTGATTAAAAGTAGGTAGCATGAGTTTGTAGTGGTTCATAAGTTGGCACAGTTGCGTGATTTGGCAACATTTCATTTATTGATTGAGTGGACATGTATTGAGAGTAGAGGGTGCCAGTCTGTAGAGGTGAAAGATGAAGTCCTTGCCCTTTAGGTTCTCACAGACTAAGGGGAAGACGGGTGATTAAAGTGTGGTATGAAAAGGGCTATGATGGAACTGTGTTTAGGAATCTGGAGAATATAGGGATGCCTGGGTGGCTTAGTCGATTGAGTGTCTGCCTTTGGCTCAAGTCATGATCTCAGGTTTCTGGGATTGAGTCCTGCATCGGGCTCCTACTCAGCGAAGAGTCTGCTTCTCCCTCTCCCTCTGTGCTGTCTCTCCCTCTCTTGCTCTCTCTCAAATAAATAAATAAAATCCTAAAAAAAAGAAAAAAGGAATCTGGCGAATATAAAGGGTACCCCATTTAAAATGAGGTGACTCTTGAGGTATCTTGAAGAATGAGGAGAAGTTGACAAGTTGGAGAAGATGGGGACCAGAATGGGGAAGGATATTCCAAGGAGAGGGAGCTGCATGTACAGAAATTCAAGACATGTGTTATGTTAAGGGTCATGTTGACAAACCCAACCAAAAACTCAAGTAACCTGTCAAGACCACCCATCTAAGATGGGGTTGAGTTGGGACTTCAGGTAGGTCATTGGGACACCACAATACTAGATTCTTTGAGATGGTATAGTTATTGTCCAGAGGAAGGGAGAAACCAATCCCACTTTGTTTTGTGTTGGTTAGTATAGTAGATCACCTATGGGAATGTTACAGTTGAACTTTTTATGTGGTTATTTTGAATAACATTTGTTTGAACACATTACTATTACAGGTATTTATAATCTTGCTTTTGCAAAATGTGTGATTTGTGGCAAATATTTTCACACTTGATTTAAACTTTTATAGTCCAATATTTTGGTTATTATAAATTTCAATTTACACTTACTGTGTTCTTTTTAAAAATTTTTCATTTAAAAAGTATAATTCTTAATGTCCAATTTATTATTATTTTT